CTAGCGATTCTAATCGAAAACCAAGTGGATATTCTGAAAGCTGGTTTCAAGCTACACAAATTTGCTTCAGAACACATCTCAAAAAAAAGCTTTCATTGAGCAGAAATATGTAAAACTTAGACATCACTGAAAAAAAAAGTCCATTTTCGGTAATTCCGTAACGGCCGTTACTTTTTTAATAACTCCCTATGGGATGATCCAAACTCAACGAAATTTTCGGACGTGATAAAACTCAGTACTGTCTACCTCTGGTAAAAGCGTCATTGCATTTGGATCATTCTCAGATAAGTTATGGCACGTGAAAGTTGAAAAAAAGTAATTCCGTAACATTTGGACAAGCCGTGCTGTTAAAACACGTAACTACTTAGAAGTTACTTATACATTTTTTGCTGAAGAATAGAGCACAACATAATAAATGTCTGCACAAGTTCCGCTTGAAGCAATTAAAAAATTTCTGTGTGCTATGACTATAGCCATACCACATGGAGATCAATCAATTAAAATACCATATGGTTTTTTGGTCTTCGACCGATTGCAATGCCATCAGAAAAATTTCTCTATTCAAGTACCTTCAACGGGTGCTTCAGAAGAAATTGCCTTCTTGGTATTTTCGTCTTTTCTCTCTTTTCTTCTATCGATTTGAGCTACTCCTTTTTGCAAAAGATGCGCCTTGAAATACTCTACAAAATCATGCCTAAACTATAATTTTAGAACTTTAATCAAGAAAACTAAGCCAATTAGATGAAAATTGGAAAAAAAGAAAACCCTCCAAAATAAAAATAATTTCTTGTGTTAACGTTTCGAAAGTAAGAAAAACTGAATTAGCCATTTTGTAACCCTGACTTCGCTCTATCTTTTAGCTACGCTTCAAATTTTTTCACATCTAAAGCCACGGCGAAATAATAGTTTTTCTGCCGGTTGTCATGCATTTTTTCATTAACTTTTAAATTTTGGGTATGTAGTGCTTTGAGTAAAAGTCCCATAACTCCATCGGAGTAAAAGCTTTTTCGGTCGGATTTGTTTTGTTTTGATCAGAAATGCTTGCCCTTCTCTATCTAACTGCAAAATCGAAATTTCAATCATGTTTTTCGTGTCTTGCTTGAGCATATTGTTAGAAACGAGGAGGTTGTCAATTTTTGACATGTTTTTGTAACTTTGTTCTCCAGCACGCCATCTGCACTAAACAAATTTTTATAGACCGCGAGAAAGAGTGCATTTGGTACCAAAAATAAACTAAGTTCTCACGTTTGCTTAACTTTTTACTGGAAATAGTAGCAGAAGAAAAAGTTCAAGTTGAAACAGATTTTGAGTGTGGATAGTTTTCATTTTTTTGATTTTCATCTAATTGGCTTAGTTTTCTTGATTAAAGTTCTAAAATTATAGTTTAGGTATGATTTTGTAGAGTGTTTCAAGGCGCATCTTTTGCAAAGAGGAATAGCTCAAATCGATACAAGAAAAGGGAGAAAAGACGAAAATACCAAGAGGGCAATTTCTTCTGAAACATCCGTTACTCGATTATTTAAATATATATCCAATTCTCCTTCTGGCTGGTGCTATCTGCAAATGACGATGGACAACGTGAATGAAAGAAGTTTATTTTAACTGTAAAGTATAGTTATTCACCGCATTATCATTACATAATTTGAAAATGCCATTATTGTATATAACGTTTGTATTACACTATACCATTAGAATCGAAGTGTGAATATTTTGTCGTAAAGCTCGTATAAATAGCCAAACAGTTTTTTCTCCATGACTACTAACTAGCAATATTATATTTCTTTAATAAAAATATATTAATCAGAATTTAAATGACATATGCTCTCTCTAATGGTTAGAGTTTGAGGGAAGAAGCAAAATCCGAAAAAAAGAGTTCAGAAGCGGGAACTTGTTTCTATATATTTATCATCATCATTACCGCTCTAGGTTGCGTTGCTATGACCGCTAGCATGGGTAAATCACCTAAGGAAATGTCTGTATATAAGTGATGAAGGGAGGTCTTCTTTTTCTACCTCTCTTGGATTCTCAATACTAATTGATATCATGAGGAAAAAACACACCTCCAAAATATTTATTCAGTTTTAATGATGTCATGTTATCGTTTGCTATCGCTAAGTAAGTGAGTAAGTAACCTATGTTGACTCAACATATCAGATTTAACAAACAGAACAAAAGAAAAAAATATACCGATTACAGTAGGTGGTTGGCAAAAGAAAATTATTTTTTAAACTATAAAATAAGGTCGCTAGAGTCGTACATACTGTCGTACATACACAAAAGAAAACAGGAAAATATGTTCTATTTAATTTTATTCTCATTAAATTTCCTGATTTTGAAAACATTTTGTGCGACATACATTGTACCATCAATATCAAACTTAGCGGCAATTAATTCAACAGCCGTTAAGGTTACATGGAATTTTTCGAATGAAACATATGTACCTAATACAATTAAACTATATATGACCTTTTATCCTCCACCAAGTTTACAACTTCCATTAACAACTTATGATATTGCAATAGATGCAAAAGATCGTTTTAATTATTCACAAATTTGTTCTAATTTACGAGTCAATCAACTATTATATACTGCCTTAAGGGAGGGGAAACATTGCCAAAAACTATCAGTTATTTCCTGTCCTGTATTCTAACATTTTTTCTGTACTTTTTTTCTAATTATGTTAAAAATTAAATAATTTTACATTATGGAAAGACAGACAGAAATGTCTTTTTAAACGAACATTCGGGTACGTCTTTTTATATTCCGACCAGGACGTATCGCTCATTTCTAGGATAAATACTTCGTCGGTTGAAACACGCGTTTCAATCAAAATTTTGACTTTATAAAAAGAATCTAAGTAGCTGATTTTATTCTGCACAGAATTCTCAGAGCTATCGCGACCAGTTAGACTTTGGGAGTGGGGAAAGGGGTGCTCCACTGAGACAAGATGTTTTTTTCGCAAGAAAAAAAAATTTTCTGCTGGGAAAAATTGATTTTTTTGGAGATGGGATCAATGGGGTGTTAGCTCTCCAGTAACATCAGCCCTAAGAATTCTGTCAAAAATAACTGTTTAGAAAGCTCGATCTCTTCCTTCTTGGAAAGTTGCAAACAACAAATCGATCTCATGCATACAAGCGCACAGATCTTTTTTCGTTACACATAACCGAACGGGTTACTTAAATTCTTTTTATGAAGTCAAAAATTTGATGAAAATGGATTTCAAAAAGAGAGATTTATACTAAAAATAAACGATGTTCCAGTTGGAATATAAAATGATGTTTCACGCTGAATGAGATTTTGGGAGGAGGGAGAGGGAGCTGGAAAACGAATAGACATAGAATTAACCAAAAAATTACTTTTTCACGCGAAGTTTGACAAAGTGCCTTCATTTTTCACAGCTTTATCGACTAAAATCATATAGTTTACTTATCCAAATCGGAGGAAGAAAGTTTAGGGTAAAACTTTCGACAGCAGGCCAGCATTTCTTCCTCGGCTGAGTTCTAGTGCGATAATAGTCCAACAGACGGATGAATATCGCGGTCGTCCTTGGTATACGACCATTTATCACCACGTACAAATTATCTTGTATGTTTTCGAGCAGAATTAGTCTATCCAGCTACCTCTATAACTAATAATTTTACCATTTCGCACACCCTTGAATGTAAAGTCATTCGAACATATAATAATGACAATATTGTCTTGGCAGATATACCCTTACATACAATGATAGTGATTAGTGAGTCAACAAAAATTCAAGTTCATTTTTATTGGCCACTGGAATTACCATACACAGATATTGTCATGTGGACGGAGATGCGTGAAGAAATAGTACCACCAACATTAACCAATAGGACAGAACAGAATCGTACTCATCTGATGCAACATTATGAATATTCAAATTTAAAACCAAGATCTGACTATTACATTTCAAATGCCGTTGAACGGTCATATCGAGGTGTACCACAATCAAGACTAGCAACAGCATTTAGTACACGTTACCTAACATTACCATCAAATGATTCAATGAAACATTCGTACTATCCAACATTAATAATATTCTTCTTCGTTCTTTCGAAATTTATATAAAATAAATCACTCAACAAAAAAATATTATATTAGAGAAAAATCTATCACAAAAATTGGTTCCCGTGAATGAAACGCGTAAGATCCATCTCCGATTTCCTCATCCGTTAACTAAAAGTGCGACGTAACGGCTATAGGGTTTTTCACGCCTGGTCCTTATACATTGAAACTTTCATTTTACAACAGTTTCTATGCGCCTGTCGAAAAGTTACCTGCCTAGATTCTTAACCAAACGCAGATTCCTTTGTTTTACAAACGTTTGCACTAGTAATGTTTTTCCTTGTATCCATGGCTATGCCAGAATAAACTGAACTGAACCAGACAGTGAGCGGTCGAAGACTGGCGAGCTTGATCTTAACGTCTGAGAAACTAGGTCAACTTATGTAGGTCAGTTTATGTAAGATACATTTGCTTTGCTGGAAACAGGTAACCATTCTAACAATTATTTTTAGGGCGAAAGACAGTTACTTTAAAAGGATGTTGCAAAGAGTCCTTTCTGTTTCTAATCCCACGTGTAAAAGCTTTGTTCACCGAGACTGTCAATGATAGTGCCGCACTTGTCAACAAAAATCTGATCATCTCCACACTGATATGAAATCGTCGACATTGCTAGATGATGTACAGTTACAAGTCACGAGATAGATTTTTGTTGGCACAAGATAGGAAATATATAAGAATAGGTGCATAAGTCAATGCTGTATCATTCATCTATCTATGTGCTTATTCTCAAGAAATTACATAAAAAACAAGGAAAACAGTTACAAATGATCGTTCAATAGTTGTTCAATACCGTACAGTAATAATTCTTTCGATACTGTCCCACACTTTACATGAAGTTCTGTGGCAAAAATCGTGACTCATTTGAAAGAGCATTTAATTCTGAGTAAGAATGTGTCATTTAAAAAGTTTTAAACACTGCCATGGGGTTCTGGAAAGATTCGACATTTGGGAATTTTATAGGTTCCAAGACGCAATTCATACCTAATTATCTCAGAAATAACAAAAGCGATAAACATGAACGCTTTAGGATATTGACTAGAGACAACAAGGAACAAAATTGCTCATTTAAAAACATTCAAAATGCTTCATTGCCCTACTACGCTTGTTCTAAGGTGGTGAAAATTTTGAAAATCCGCCGTATTGAAATGCGTTTTATCATCAAATCGAACTGTAAACTCAAAAGTAATATGTGTATCAGATTCCTCATCGTCAGTTCTGTCTAGAAATGTAGTTTTAATTGTCCACATCACTCCTGTAAGTCTGCTGAGAGCCATCTTTCACAAGCATTATGGTATTTATTTGATATTTGATGGTCTCCCAAACTATTTTTAACTACATTTTCCCCATTTTTGATTTGACCGTTTTACGACCATTGAGCAATCATAGTGAGAGACAGAGTACTGGTTTCTGACGGAACTTCACACGAAACATCTACAATGATACTTGCGACGTGGCTAACTCTAATCGTCGACTGGATGACGTAGCACACATACTTTATTTGTAGAAAACCGCTGGCTATCTATTTGATGAACAACCGTTAGGAGTGGAAATATTCATAGAGAGATCAAGGGAAAAATCCATTGAGCATCATGGACAAGAGATGACATCACCTAGCGGAAAAGACCAAGTATAGAAGATGGATAGAAAAGACAAAGCACCGAGTGCAGAACGAAAGGAAAACACTCATCGAGGCCAGATGGGAAATAACCGACACAAGTACAGCGATGGAGAGAGACAGAGAGCGAGAGACGGTTGCCACCACATATCATACTACTCTATAGGTAATCAGAATGTACTGTTAATTTCTACTAAAATGCGAAAAATGTAAATATTAGTAAGGTTTATCAATGCCATGGTAGTTTTCTAAAAACTGGACCATACGTAATCGAACGTGGGAAATTTGATTCTGCTACTGGTTTGTAGTAACAGCGTAGTCAAGTTAATTAATAGTGAGGATTTTTAATCTCATGGCATATTTCTATAAATAATGGCCCCAAGGGAGCCATAGGCGAGGAATTCAAATTTAGTAGTCAAATTTGAGGAAACGTAGTCGAAACTGAGGATTACGAATCTGATGTTGATTTTCGAGAAAAGCCTAACCGTAAGTAATCATAGTAAAACCGCCCTACATTGTGATCTACCCAGACCAGATAATCAGGAGTGAAAGATGAGCACGGGAAAGTTGAGCACTAGGAAATATGGGCACTAGGAAAATTGGGCACGAGGAAAGTTGAGCAGGAGGAAAGTTGAGCACAAGAAAGTTGAGCATTATATATTCATAACTTTTTTCACAATTCACTTTCACTTTTCAACTTCACTTCTCAACTCACTTTCTCTACAGCAAAAGTATGTCTACAGCAATATCTACATCAGTATCATGTACTACTAAACAAAAACCTCGTCTTGAACTCCAAGGTTTTTCGTACATAAAAGATCGATTTACTGAAAATAAAACATATTGGCGTTGTATATATTATAATTCTCAAAAATGTCATGCTCGTCTTCATACATGTAATATTACCAATTATGTTATAACTCCACCTTCTGATCATACATGCAAAAGTAATGTATTAGTAAGTTCACCTTCGACACTTAGCTTCGTTTTCTTAGGACTGGTACGATATTATTTTATAATTAGCATTATAATTTATATTTATGTTTATTTCTATTATTATTCCTTATTATGCATTATGTTCATCTGCCTTTTCTTTTAGGAATTGAATGGTAAAGATTTCAGTCAACTTGGGAAAACAGCACGTATTACAACAACAGCTCGTGAAATCGTTAGATTTTGTTATGGGCAGACAGCTGATATTAAAAGTTTAAAGTTTGGTGAATTAAATATCTTACTTGGTAAGTTTAAACAAATTGAGGAGGCGAAATAACTTTTTAGTAAATCAATTTAACATGTTTCTAGCGACCGCGCACCACTCGTGGATCTTCTTTCTGCATCTTAGAGAGCACTTGTCACTCCCTTTACTTGTTCTTTATCTTATAATCTAAAAATCAACTTTAACCAACTCGCTTCCACATTTCTTCAGTCTCAGTTTCATCGATCGCGATTTTAGGTCGAAGTTCGAAAATCTCTCGTTGACTTACTTTTCTTCGTATTAGCGTTCTCTATTTCAACAGATCGCGCATTAAAGTTTTATTAATCAAAATGTCTTTTTTGTATTTTATTTGTAGGCGGTGTTGCATATTTACATTCAATTCCATACAGTCAAGTTTGGTCAGTTCAAGAACAAATAAAAAATAGTTTATCGCAGATGAAATATGACATCTCCAAGTCCCCGAAAATAAAACGTGGACAACACCGTTTTCCTGTTTCACAATCACAAATAACACCTATTCGTCGAGTAAGAGGAGCAGCAGCAACAGGAAATAACAACAACAGTTTCACAGGTGAACAAGATGAAAACGAAGAAGGAGAAGAAGCAGCAGTTAGTTATCGAAACCTAGAGGAAGAAGAAGAAGATTACAACAACAATTTTTGGGTGGTCAACCTGAATATCCTTTTTTGTGATGCAAATATTCCTCTCTGAGTATGAACTCCACACATGCACAACAACAAAATATTCATTAGGTGGTTTTCAATTATTTTAATTTGAATTTTTTCGTTAATCAGTATGTAGCCGCGCACATAGACAGTAATTCATTCATATGAGTCATGATGGTGAGCATTTTTTTCGCTCAGTTACAGTTAGATTATGAAGTTGAACCTTCTCTAGAAAAACGTCACAGTTCCCTCTTATAAGACTAAAACTAAACTATGTTCTATTTTTCTAGTTTATTGAAAAACAAAAACCAGTTTGACGATATGCATTGTTCACTATTCAGTTGTTTTAGACCTCATTTGGATTTCAAGTACGTTTTTTACAAGTCGTTTTACTTTTTGAAAGAGTATTGCAGTGTCATTCCGAAAACGTTAATAATAATTCATTCATTTTGAATATGAAGTTTCAAAGAAGGTAGTGAAAGGAGGAGCGGATTTGCTCTTGAGAAGAGCAACTTTCGTACATAGGAATGGATCCTTATAAACATTATTTTGAATAACAGAACGATTCTGTTTTGAAACGTAAAACGACTTGTGAAACGTACTTGAATTCCAATTAAAGTTTAAAATAAATGAATAGTGTACAATACATATCTTCAAACTGGTTTTTATTTTTCAATAAGCTAGTAAAACAGAAGAAAGTTTAGTTTTTAGGTTTATCAGACAGAGCTACGACGTTAAGTCAGGTTTAACTGAGCGAAGAAATGTTTACGTGCCGTAGAGTTCTTCTCTAAGATCTAAGTCAAAAAATTTCATTACAAAAAGAGGGAGGAGTTTCCAGCTAGTGTTTGATTCTATAAATTTACAACACTTTTTACATAAAAGTATACGAGGATGAGAAAATCTTGCTATGCAATATGTGAACGGCTCTTTACTGTTTCAACATTTTTTTGGGTTAAAATATTTTCGTTTTTGCGTTTATTTTTATCATGTAAAACAAAAATGTGTGGGTTATTGCACTGGGTAAAAGCAAATAAAACGTACAAACGGTGATTCATATCGTGTCAAGAGTTCGTACAGACTTTCAAGATTTTCTCTGTAAGACTCTGACCTGAGTTCAAGAGTATTGAAACTCTGTCCTGATTCGGTACCAAGCCTCTTGCCAAGAGTGTCAAGACTAGAAACTCTTGCTAAGAGTCTTGAAATGATATATATAAAGGCCAGACTCTGAACAGAGTCGTCAAGAGTCCAGATTCAGGACAGAGTATGATACAGAATGTCGATCTGTGCTACCATTTAGCGTATCTTTATCTTTTTCTTGATGTCGCATGCAGATTATGCTTTCCTTTCTGTATATGTCCTTATGTCTGACATACAGATATCTCTATGCGATATCAAGAAAAAGATAAAAGGAATCTAGCAAATAAACAGATATCTTTCTTCACACAACATATATTATGTGTGGACATTGCCACACATTTGACATGGAAAAAGAAGAAAAAATAGACATAACAAATAAGGATCTTTCTTCTCTCTTTCACTGTGTGAAGAACGTGAAAAAATCAGTTCAGCATTGTATTCATTCACCGTTTTATTCTTGCAACGCTTTTTTAAACAATGCGCCGAAAAGGTTGGAGTCAAGTTATAAATGTGACTCTGCTTGATTCTATTCCTATTTAGATGGATCTGAGACTTCGAGTTTCGTTTCTCAGTCACCAATCAGGTTGAAACAGTGACTTTTCTCCGACAGGAAATTTGATGAAAACACAAGTTGAAGTCATTTAGATCTAGGTTCCACCGTATCGGTTTATCACTACAGTCACTTTAATCCATTTTAGCAAAGATATGATGCTGCACTGCAGAATAGAGACTAACACACAAAGGCTTGAACGATTGATATCTTCATTTGAGCTATCGAAAATCTTATAGAAGAAAGAAGGCGAACTACCGAATTTCTTTTCTGATCCAATATTTAAAAGAATTTGAAAGAGTATAACACCGTACAGTCCCCACTGTATGGCTACTATGATCAAGAGAACAGAAAGACAAACATTTGACACATTTGTCTACGAATATCTTACATGTGCGAGAAAGATATCTCCTTATTTGCTAGATGCCTAAAGATACGCTAAATGGTAGAGCTCTACTTTATTCATTTAAGAAAGAGAAATAAGAATTCTACACAGATGCGGTCTAGGCCATTATATTAGAGGAAAATGACATATCAAATGATATAAGCGATTACGGATAAAACGTTTCTCTCCTTCATCTTAAAGTGTCTAGTAGATATACAAAAAAAACTGTTAGTTAGTTTCTTTTCGTTAAGAGATCATTCTGACCTTCAGTGTGATCAGTATTTATCTTCGTCTCCTCTCTATTTTCATTCTCCTCACAAAAACGTCTTTCCCTGCAGGGAATGCAGGTAAAATCTTCTCCCCTGCAGGCAGTGCAAGCAGAAAAACATTCTTCTTTATCTGCCGGCCGTTAGTGGAAATTTTTTTTATTCACCTGCAAACTGCAACCTGCCTGCACTGCCTGCAGTTTGCAGGCAGTTTACCATGCAGGTGATCAGCTCTGAGCCGTACCCCTTATACTTTTGCTGATCACGTGTCTTGTGTCATTAGTACAATCAAAAACTCTCTTTCGTTCGTGTTCATTTGTAAAAAAAGTTTACATCAAAATGAGATCCCTCCCAACTCTTCACGACCTTTCTTTGCAAAGTTATAGAATTTACAAGAAACGCACTAAATTAATTTACGGACTATAATCCCAACATGTTGGGCAAACATTGCTTCGGTTTCAGGGGATTTCTAGAAATTTCTTTTACACTGTAATTTCGAATTATTTTCTACTTTATACAAAATCGATCTGGAAAATTGAAAAATCGCGAAGGATTTTCCAACTTTTATAAAATTCTCAGCGATTTTCTGACTGTTTAGAAAATGTTGATTTTCTATAAATTGACTTTTCTCATTTACCAGAAAATCGATAAGGAATTTCTAAAAAGTTGGAAATTCGACAGCTATTTTCTAAATAGTTGAAAAATCGAATTCGGTTTTCTAAGAAGACGACTCAGTGATTGTTTTCTTGTTTCGTTTACATCTGTTAAAGCCTATACATTGCAGCAAGATGTCGTGTAACAGATCTCTGCTTGTTTTAGTATTTAACATCGGAAATGGTAAAAGAAAGATATACAGCCCGAAACGGTTATTCGTAATCAGCGTCCTTGATTACATATAAATAGCCAGGTTTGAACAAAATCAGGATGTATCATTTGGGGTGGTTCCCTTGTAAGAATTGCATCGTAAATATTGTGTAATTCATAACGATCACTTTGACGATTATTTTGATTTAAATTAAAGAAAATATATACAAGAAGAATATATAGCAATTTAATAGCAAATTAATTAGTTTAGTTTCAGCGTTATTGCAAATTCATTAGTGGACAGACAAGAAAAAGAATATAAAGAAAATATATACAAGAAGAAGTATGAATAGAAATATGAAAGATATATGAAATATGTCAACGGCTGACGATTTTTGAAATTCTGTTACCAGCGGTTAAGGTTTTTGAAATGTTATTGTTTTTTTTATGATTTTTGAAATCTGATCGACTTCTTCTTGTATATATTTTCTTTATATTCTTTTTCTTGTCTGTCCACTAATGAATTTGCAATAACGCTGAAACTAAACTAATTAATTTGTTATTAAATTGCTATATAGAGTGATGTGAAATGTTACTTTTTAAGGTATTAGAAACCAAACCTGGTACATCATTCCAAAGATCTGATGATAGAGGGTACTGAGGATTAATAATTGAAGATTATTGAAAATTTGATACTATCGAAGGTGCTGATGAAATAGTAGCAGATTTTGCGCATTTCACATCATACAATTTAAATTTTAGGCTATTCAAATTTGTATACTTCACCAATTACTTCTGTTTCTCCTCTAACAACATACTCAACTAATTACTCATATCTGCATCCTACTACTTCGT